TTGGGGCAACAACCAGAATTTCGATATAAGCCCCGGTTCTAGCAGACAGCAGTGAGGAACATAACAATAGCGTTGGAGAGAGAATGTCCGCTGCTTCTAGCTTCGAGGTACTCACCGAGTTGTTGTTTGATCTCTTGTTTCATTCTTCGTATTACAGCAGGTTTCGCTCAGCGCTCACTCGGAGAGGGCGAAAGCGGGGCGGAGGTTCTGATCTTCCTTCGAGCCACATGCCCTTCAAATCCCCAACAACGATGCCAACTACGTGTCCAAATCCAACGGAAATTTCATTCGAAACATTCCAAACGTCCATGTAGCTCTGTACAACGCTCCTATGAATACAAATGCCCACACACGCTTATGTAAGTTGCTCCATTACAAAGAAACCGTAGCCGTTGCTCAACTGTTCAAGTTGGTGACCACCCCGGCCTCCTGCTGCCAGCGGTAGCCCACCGTTCGCCAGCGGTCGCCGCACCCGGGCTCGTCGGACACGAAGCCCTTCATCCACGCCCCACTGAACGGCCTCTCTTGCCTAATCGAAGACTCCATGATGCCTGTGGAAGCCAGTCGCCGCACTGCCGGTCGGGGTCCGTGGGACTCGTCCTCGTTGTTGTATGGCGCAGCCATTGCCGAGACGATTTGCATCCGTGCGTCTTGTAGGAGAGGTGATGGCCAACCCCCGGTGCCAAAAAAACACGTCAGCATCAACCAGAGCCATGTTGGCGGAGACGACAACGGTCTAGACGGGCGGCGCTTCCAAGTGCCGGCGGCAGGAGGAAACAGCCGGCTTCGCATCTTCATCTTGCAAAAAAATCTTGCGAAACAAATATTTTGCCGGTCGGTCTGTTCGGTGCTTCGGTGTGTAGTCCAATTGCGGTTTTCTCCCGCTCCTCTTTGCTTGTCCTCTCTCCTCTGTGAGACGCACGGCGGGGGGAAACGAAGACCTGCCAGTTTTCAGACCGGATCGTCGTTGGGGAATAGAATACAGAACGCTTCACCACTTAAGAACCGCTTATTTAGCTTGAGGCTGGACGCTTATTGTTGCTTCCAACCGAGCACATGTTCTTATTTTCCAAGTTCTTATTTGGAGCAGGCATCCACCTATGATGAACGGGGTTATTTTCTTATTTCTAAAAAGATTGCCCTATCCAGAGGACGCAGGTTTATGGGTGGATTTCATCACGAGACACTACTGCTGCAAGTGTACAATGTAGTCGTAAAATCGTCCCCCTAGATGGCAGTACCGCATGTACGGTATGGGAAAGGAGAGGCTGCCTAGAACAGCCAAGGAGGCGAAGTGGGCAAACAAGAAAGAATGGGTGTACGAACCAACGGAGTGGGTTACTGTTGTTGTAGATGACGCATGGAAGCGGTTCCAACTTGACGAAGGTGATACACTGGAAACGCAAGGTCTAGAGGGGTTCAAGGAGATATGTATCTGTTGCTTGACGAGAGAGCAGAACATAACGTAACCAAAGACACCAAGGATAAGGAGGGTCTGCATGTGTACGGAATGTTGAAAGAAGGAAAATATTTAAGGAATACCTTCTTCATGGACCAATGGATGTGGGGACAAAGCTGAAAGTCAAACGTAGGAATGGGGACATTGGTCGTCGAGAACGTAGACGAAGATTTGGGAACGTAGACGATGAAGACGACAAATCCACATGTGATTGCGGCTCCGAGTGCGAAGACCATGTTCATGAAGGTGCGGAATGTCCGTTGTACAAGAAGGAGAGGGAAACGCACATGTGAGCTGTTCACGTAGGTGCGGAATGTCCGTCGTACAAGGAGAGGGACACGCACATGAGTGAGCTGGGAAAACTACAAGGAAAAGGTACAGAGACATGTTTGAGGCATGGAATAGCCAGGAGAAGACGGTAGCTGTACTGGGGCATAGGAAATGGGTTGAACGAGCGGGAACTGATATCGATAGGATATATAGGCTAGGGAAACATTTTTGAGGCACCTTTTAGGCAATCAATGTAGGATCGAACGATTGGCCATCGGTGATCGGTCCTGTGGGAACAATGCTGCGTCCTGTCGAGGACGCGTGGTCAATGGTCTAACCGCTAAGGCATCCAAAACATGAGAGAGAGAGCAAGCCCCCCCTTCGGATCCAACTCCTACGATCGGGAAGAGGCGTAAGGAAGCTAAATGGCAAGTATTTAGTACCGTATGGTGTACGATATGGGAGAGGAGAGGTTGCCGAGAGAAGCGTGGGAGGCGAAGTGGACAAACAAGAACAGGGGCAACCCAGGGAGTGGATTAAGGTTGCAGATGACGTATGGAAGAGTTTTAAATCGATGAGGTTGAAACATTGAAAACGAACGGTAGGTATCGGGTTCATCCATTGGAAACAAACGGTAGGTCTATAGGGGTTTGAGAACAAGAAACCTGCTACGTTTGCCGAGAGAGAACACAATCAAACAAAATGATCCAACGATAAGGAGGGTCTAGATGTGTACGGATGTTGAAATAAGTACTTACATGGACCAATGGATGAAGGGACAAAGCCGAAGGTCAAAGTTAGGACTTAGGACAACGGCCTTTGAGAACGTTGACGAGGATTCGGGAAGGAAGACAATAAAGACGACAAGTTCAACTGTAAATGCTGCTCCGAGTGCGAAGACCGGGTTCATGTCGTTGCGAAACGTCCGTCCGTGCTGGGCGACAAGGGTAGATAAATGTACATGACTGAGTTGGACACGTAGAAGGAAAGTTACAGGGATAGAAGAATGTTTGAGGCATGGAATAGCCAGGAGAAGACGGTACGTACCTGTACTTGGGGCATAGAAAGTGGGTTCAAAAGGCGGGAAGTGGCATCGATAGGATAGATAAACTAGGGACGACATTTTTGAGCCACCTTTGGAAAAAATAGTTCGAAGTATATGCAGGAAGGAACGATTGGCCATCGGTGATCGGTCCCGTCCCGTGGGCGCAATTATGCGTCCTGTCGAGGACGTGTGCTCAATGGTCTTATCTCTAAGGCATGCGAAACGTGACAGAGAGTACGCCCTCCCCCTCCTCCGCGGGTACAATCATTTCATCACGAATCTGAAACAAACTGCTGTTTGGGTCACCCATCCTTCCTGATTTCTTATCTTCTTGCAGCCGCCGCGTTTTGGGGCTCCGTTCTTATCTGCATGCGCATTTTTGGTATAATACCATGAGGAGGGCGCGTTCTAACTGAGCACCTGTTCTTATGGCCAAGTTCTTCTATTTTGGATTGTTTCAGGCTCAAGTTCTTAACTCCTAAGTTCTTAAGTGGTGGCGCGTTCTGTAATGGAAGAGACCCAGAGTCCAGGATTAACATTGTGTGCCCATGTGCGCTTCGGTGACATCCATCCGCATTATTGTTTGTTCGGAAGTACCATCAAGGTGCGCCGATGACGAAGAGCTTCGACGTGCTTAAATATTTGAACAAAGAACAAAAGGGACTTAATAAATTATTGCCCGACGCCCACTACCACAACACCACCTCAGCTTGCAGAAAATGGTCTGGTACAGTATATAGTCTACGTAGCTCTCGATAGATGGCCTTCAAGCAAGAAGTACTAACATTTAAGGAACTCCCCGTTCGAGAATACCCCGTTCGAAGGGATGTCTTCTTCTGTCTTCACGCCGCAGAAAAGAATAGTGTAGTCTACTACACGTCTACACACCATTGAGGGATAAGGGCGACCTAATGGTCTGGGGGGGAGGGGGGGTGATCCCCTGAAACAACAGTTGCCATTTAGACTCGTAGTCTAGCCTTAGCCTGTCCTGTACACATAGTAATCTCTGTCAACTATCACTCTTTATTGATGTCGGCAAAGTCAGAGCCGCGGGGTATTTGTATACCTTGTTTCCGATTGGACCGTTCTGTCCGAGACGACCATCGATATTCTATTTATCTCGTTTAGAAAGACCGCTCTGTCTGGTAGATTCGGTAGATTGCAGTGGGCTGCTCTCTCTCGCGCGCTCCTCTCACCCATGTGGTGCCACCCACCACAGCCAGCCTCGCCGTCTGTCTGTCTACTCCGCGTTAGGGTACCAAAAACTGTAGTTACTCTACATACATACGTCTCTACCAACTATTATCTATCGTCGATCATCACAGAAGAACACCGCCATCAGTTAGTTTTCAATTAGTGAAATTGTGTCAGGGTCTCCATCGATGCTGACATTTAGGAAACATAAATACAACCACAGAAAGACTACCCATCCATGCTGACTGAGAAGCTATCTATCTACCACACACTGCCACATACACGCCTAATTTAGTTCCTCGCCTCTCGCGCACATGGTTGAAAGGACAGGCAGGCATAGATCGTGGAGAAATCGAGCGAGAGAGAGAAAGAGAGATCACACGATCGCACACGAGAAGAGGTGCAACCGTAAAAGCTGCAGCAGATCACGAGCATCCATCTCCTCCTTGCTGTGTATCACGTTGTGTCTTTGAGGGCGCGGGCGAACTAATTATCTATGGTTGCTGGGGTTGGGGGTTCCTCCCTTCTGTCACCTCACGTAGTTTGTAGACGATGGGGTTAGAATGTAGCCCAACAGAAAACCTTCTTGCCTGAGAGCAATCGATTGCAGCAGCACGGCGGTCCCAGCAAAGGCAGCAAGCAGACCGACCTCGACCGTCCAATCGTTGGCGGGGGCGGTACGACTCCTGTACTCCTGTTGATTGTGTGCTGCCGGCCACCACTGCTGCCGGTGTTTTTTTTGCGTCCCGGCGTTGTTGACTGACGCACTAATGGCGCACGACACAAGAAGCCATGTAAAGAGGCTGCTGCCGAATCTTTCGAGGGTTCGAAGTCGTGTGTTCGCTGCTCTTTTTCTGGATCTTTCATCTTTCCGGCTGGATCTTTCCAAGGCCAAAAGGCGGGCTTACGGAGGGGATGATTTGCTGGACTGGTGCAGATGTGCAGACCACCACACACGACCTCTCTCCATAAATCTCTTCTACGTGGCCCCCGGCTGCTGCTCAGCAGCTCCAGCACCACACAGCACATGAGCAGCAGCAGCGGCAGCAGCCGCTGGACTAATCGCCGAACAGCATTGGGAGCAGTGGGGAGATGCGCTCGTTGGAGGACAGCTGCTTTGTGAAGATAGCGCAGAGCCCCGAGGTATCGCTCAATCCTCAACGGGTGAGAGACGAATAGTTCAACCGCTCTCTGTTGTTGTTCTCCACACACACACACGCACACAAGAGTACCGGGGGGAAGGGACAAGCAATCGCTGCCGATGCAAGCATATGTATGTGTTAGATATCTCAGCCGTAGCACAGCATCATCCATAGTGTTGCAAGCACAGCGAAACGCTGCCGGCCATTTTGATACGCGCTGACAACGCAGTCAAGGATTCTGAATTTCATTCTGCAGTGCCCCCTCGAGATTCTCTCCGTCTGCATCTTCTCCTCCTCCCACCCCAGCACGTAGGCATGAGCAGGACCGAGCACTGCTCGTCGTCTAGCAAACCCGCATGCGAGAGTTCCTCAGTTCTCGTAACTCCACGTCTAACTTGGCTTCCAAAATGTAGAAGTATGTGAGACGTGAGACACCGCCCCGTTGTTGCGTTTTCTCTTTGGTCTCGGAATAGTGGAGACGGCGGCGGAGAGACTGAGTGACTGAGTCCAGGCTTTCGTGTTATTTGATTATTTACTTGTAGACAGATGTGTATGCTAGTATGATACCACGTGTCAACGGTTACGTAACAGGCGAGCTTTGCCGGTGTATCTGTCGACTGCTGTAGCATTTCACGCTGAAGCGGGCAGTTCTCCGCCAGTTTGTCGCGTGTAGTACATACAGCAGTATTAGCGCCGTTCGCTACTAGGCTGCTGGCGCTGGCTGTGTGTAATTTTCCACCTCTGGTGTTAAGTACTGCTGTAAAGAACTTGACGTGCATGGTGTTGGCGTCCAAGCCACCATCCATCGCAGGCGCTGCCACCGTTCACCCTCCCCTTCATGTCGGGCTACCTTCGCATGCAATCAACTCGCACTACCATCCATTTTTTGGCAGGTGGAAAGGGCTCTGTTCTCAAAGAATGCAACGGAGCTCGTTAGAAGGTCCACGGAAATTGGGGCGGCAGGAGGCAACGGGAAAGGAGCCATGGACACGGTACGTCTGAGGCAGAAGATCATCACCAAGCTGGTCGAAGAAGGCAGAGGAATGGTGAGATGAGATTCTACAATACTCTTGTCCTGCATTACAACGCTGGGTCGTTGTCCTCTGCCGCTGCTACGGCCTCCTCAAAGTATCTAAATGCCGTGGGCCCCAAACCATAACCAAGGCCACACCTCAGGGCGGCAACGTTGCAGTTGCGAGCTCCCTGTCGAAACACGTTGGCGCATGCGTGACACCAGACTGCTTTGCTCTTGTGGCCTGCTGGTGCAAGGCTTGCGGTGGCCCCTTCCCCCTACCAACTCTCAATTCATCGCCGACGAAATGCCTGCATAACATACCTTTATGGCGGGTACGGGTGTATGTACAGCAGTATGCTACATGTAGACTTACAGAATAACCCGTGTACAGCAGTATGCTGTGCATATAAACTTACAGAATACCCCGTGTTGCAAGTCCCCATAACAATCGATTTTTTTATTATTACGAAAGGCATCGATCACGCGGAGCCCCCACAGCGGCCAGATTCCTATGCGACAGGCCGTTATTCGTTATTTGCCATCAACTTCGGCTGTTGTGGCGATCCAAAATGTTGCCAACCTTCTAAAGAAACCTTAGGCGTGTCCAAACTGGACGGGATCGTCTTATGAGCGAGTGTAGAGCGTTGAAGGTCAACTTTTGGGGGAATCTGCCGGAAATTTTCAAAAAAAAATGGAGGTATCTGTGTGGGGCGTGTTTGGTCGATGTATAGGCGATAGAGTGCTTCACTGGTACCACCCTCGTAGTGGCGATTAGCCAAAATTGCGCCAAACCCCAATGCTACCTATGCCTATGTGATCGACTCTGGCGAAGTCTCGAGCGAATTTGTGAACTCCTTCGCATGCGGATAGCAGCGTGACGTTTGGTGGTGACTGATGCGAAACGGGCTTGAAGCAGCAGCTCTTGCACTTTTGATAGGACGGCATTTGCCAGGTTCAGAGGGAAGCCAGGGCAAACCAACTGTCTGCGCGTGGAGAACACAACATGCTTGAGGTATCCTGCATGTTTCATGGCACGTAGCCATCCGTGTGAGGAGCACCAGCGGTGATAAAGGTGTGCACCCGATAGTGTTACGGGGCAACCCATCATGGGGGCTCACGTGGGATGTCATCGATTTTCGCGGAGCCCCTTTGTCATATTTTTTTTGCTTTTTTTGTGGGACCTGCAACACGGGTGAAACGTAAAAATGAAGGCATGCACCGCAGAGGGGGCCCTTGACAGTGACTATATTACCCCGAACTAGGGCCCATTCACAGCAGTTCAGCTAGGAAGGCAAAGCGTTGGGAGGGTTAGCGATAGCTATTTAGCGAGCGACGGTGTTTGAACGGGAACACCAGACTAAGACGACTGGACTTTACAGTAATGCCTCTTCTGCTTATAGCCAATGCTTGCCTGGCGTAGCACGGTGATGCATAGAATGCCTGTCAGACTCATTGAACCTCCCCTTTAGCCTACCACAACAACCGCTGACGCATGTTACACACTCTCCTTTGGTCCTGTGCGGTGCAATAATTCTCCTTGTTCTGCAGGCAGGGAGCTTTCCCGCACCGCCAGCGTTCCTGGACAAGAGCTTCACCTCGGTATCCTTGGTCAACTCCAAGATTGGGGATTCCTTCATCCGTGACACGCTTAGCATGCGATGTCCGATGCTACGGGTGAGCTTCCCCTCAGCGGTGGTGATGGTGGGCCTTGGGGCTGCTACAAGTTGTGCGGTTTGCGTCTGGACAAGCACGTGAAGTATAGCTCGGAGAAGTGCGTGCGTTGCCCCTGTTCTCTGTGTCGTGATGCTGGTCTAGCAGACGCCATTTTCGCCGTAACTAATGCCATACCAATTGCCATGTACCGCAGGCACCTTAGGCGAACCTTTTCGTCAATTGCCCATTTTGTAACCCGCCCCCCCCCTGCTCCCTCGGTCTTTTCTCCCTCGCTCCCAATGCCATCAAAGAGCGTGGACCTCACAGCGTGCTTCTACATCCGAGATAGTGCCATAGAATCCCTGCTCAGCCGGTGCTCGCTGGTAGAGCGCCTGTCCCTTAGAAACTGCCGAAAATTGACGGACCTCTCCCTGGAGCACTTGGTGAGACATGGGAAGAATATAGCGGCTCTGGACATCGGCGGGTGCTTCAACATCACGGCCCCTGGGGTGGACGCTCTCTGCGGGTTGCACCCCAATGCGCCTCGGTAAGTCTTTGGGCCAGCTGGAATTGGTGGGATATGTACCATACCATCTGCTGCCCCTCCCCCCCGTGTTGCTGTTGCCGTATGTCTTGCTTTCCAGTGATTGTTGTCTACGATAGATATCCGTTCCTTGCGTATGGCACGGCGCAGATATTTCGATGGTGTATTTTGACGGGAGGATGGTGATAGGGTGTCTTTGATACGGCGGGTGTTTTTTGCCATCTTGTTCCACGTTCCGAGCGGTGACAATTTTTTTATCATGTACCGCATTGCCATTGCCTCCCTTTGTTCCTGTCGTCTCGTTGTATGGGTGGTGTGTGGGGTACACCGACCGACTCGCACACGCCTCGGCTAACTCGCATCAGTGAGAGGCTGGGGTGTCTTCCACGTGTACGTATGGACCGACTCTGAACGATAAATCGATTTCTCCGCAGCCAAGAGGGCGAGCGTGCGGCGCAATAACCAACCGACCGATACGTGTAACGAAAGCTGCCGACCGCAATACATGTTTCCAAAACCGCCGTTGGCAGCCTATTGGTTGTGGAGAAATGGAGCATTGAAAGTCGTTCTAGGTAGGGTGTCTGCGATGGCCCCCACTCTTACGGTACTTGCCATTCGCCTATCATCTGTCTTGGCTGCGTCATGACCACGCAAACCCTCCTGCCTGGGCCTTTTTGGTGTGTTGCCTTTCACCTCTACCCCCCGGGCACGCTTGCCTACATCAGGTTTGCCGAGCTGGACATTTCAGGGCTTAACGTGACAACGCACACCTTGGAGGTGATCTGTCACCGCTGCCGGCATCTTGAGGTCCTTCGAATTGGTAAGAGGGCCAGCTTGATGTTCTTGAAGTTTCGGCGTTTGACCTGGGCCAGCTTGATGTTCTTGAAGTTTCGGCGTTTGACCTTGACCTTGAACGAGTTTTTTCCTGGATTTGAGTTTTTTTTCTCCCGATTCGCCGTTTGTTGGCGACTGTTTTGATGGTCGCGGGGCCAAGAGCGCACCTTTTGCGTAAGGACTTGGAACCAATCCGAAGCGTTGTTGCTGTAGTTCTGTCCTGCTGTTGTGTGGTACCCGATACGGATTTTTTGTCTTCTCAAAACACACGATCGGCTCTAAATGGTAGAGTCTGTTCGTCGTTTGCGACGATTGCCATGTTTTTTCACCCCGCTTTCCGCTTGGTTTGTTCCTTTTGGTGGTGCGCCGTTACGGTTTAGCGTTGAAGACTGTCATCGCTTAAACCGTTTGTCGTGGAACTGCGGTTAAAAGACCTGAAACATGTATAATGGCAGTGGGGTTTGTTTGGCATTAGCTCGTTGTTTTTAGCCCCGTCCTCTCTCTCTCTCTCTCTCTCTCTCTCTCTCTCTCTCTCTCTCTGATCATGCCCAACTCGAGTTGGTTATCCCTGCCCTTGTGGATCAACATCTCGCCCCTTGCCCCACCGAACCTTTTCCCCCCCTATGCGTCACTTTGGCGTCGTCCGCCGTCTCCCGTGGGGCAAAACACATATGTATCGGCGAAGGCTTTATCGAGTACATGGAGGACACCTTGAAGGACACTCTTCCCCCCCTGCTGCCCAACCTTCGGTCGCTCCACGTGCACTGGAACACGTGCATCACTGACGAGTTTCTGTCGTGGGCATCCCAGGCGATACCACGGCTACAGGTGAGAGATGGTGCGGTACGGGTTACCATGAATCTACGTCAAAGAGCCAATGATCAACGGGGGCAACATTGAACATTGAACACCTGCATTTTCTCTTTTTGGTTTTTGCGGGTTGTGGACGTGTTGGCTGGCCTGGGTGTACTACTGTATCTGTTCTCCATACTGCAGAGGGTACCTGCTATGATGCTGTCTGGGCTGAAGGCGGGAGAAAGCAAGCGGTGACCCTTTCCTCTTCACTATGTAGCCAGGGTGATGTGTGGCTTGTGTGCTCGCTGTTCTTGCGCTGCCTGCCTTTCGCACTTGAGTGTGTTTGTGTGTTTTTTTATTATTAGCATCGATCGCGCTAGCTGGCTGACCAATGAACAGACATCAGGTCTCAGTGCGGTTGAAAACACGAAACACTTCTAAATGCCATTAACTGGGACCCCGTGAGGGGGCGGCATGGGGGAGGCTAAGGAATTCTCCGGATGAAAGACAGAAGCGGTAGCAACAGAGGAAAACTGCACACGTCTACGAGGGCTGCTACCTTGCACTCGAGTTCGTTTTGGAGTGCTTTCACTTTCATCCTCCTTGCTTTCACCACCATCACTCTCAATATCATTTTCACAACTGTTTTTCGGCAGTTCTTCTCTAGCCCTGCGTCGTTTGTTGTGGGGAAGGTCATTTGGCTCGAAACATTTGTGTGTGGGTTGTTTTTTTGGGAGGGGGGAATGATCACGGTGATGAATTAGCCTGACGCTAGGCAGACGTAATCGGGGTATGGTTAGGCCACACAGGTAGATGGTCGTCCTTGATTGATGGGCGGGCGGGCCGTTGCGTTGTTTTGTCCGTGTTCGCGAATGGCGTGCCTAATAATAGCGTCTCGAGCACAACCAGCGGAGAGAGAATCTCGTTTTTGACGTTTCGTCGTTTGCTGCCCAGGTGATCTGTGAGAGGTGATCTGTGAGATCACCTGTTCTTTCAGCGTTGAAGTGCGAAGGGCGTAAAGTCACGTTGTCGGGTTGAGCCGTGTGTACGCTGGTTTTGTACCGGCAGATAGAGCAGTCGGCGTAACAACGGCAGAGTTCTTTCTCTTCCCAAAACTTGAGATGCCTGTCGTCGGCCTATTGTACAACCCTTTACCTTTCGCGTTGTCTGGGCAGTCAGTCGCATTAAGATTGGCTTGTGTGAGGCGGCACGAAGTCTGTCTCTCTTCGAAAGAAACTACGCAGCAGCAGAGCGCAAGCGTTCCGAGTTTCAGCTATTCCCCGCGACGTTTTGTTTTGTCTCACCGATGCTATTCTGCCAATGCTGGACAGGATCTGAACTTGTGCGGGTGCTCTAAGGTGTCGGTGGACGGGGTGTCGGACATGATTCACGAACGCCAGGAAGCCTTGGAGAAAGACGGCAACGCTGGCTTGGTGAGTGAGTCAGTCAGCGATGCAATGCGATGGAACTGCTGCGTTCATTGTTGATCCCGAGGAGAGATTTTCCGCGCCACCGTACATACTCCGTTTGGATCCGGTACCTTTTGAAAAAAGAACTTGTTTTGCATATTGCGTCCCCTAAGCTGAAAAATGAAATACCCAAAACAATCACAACACACCAAACCCTATATGCCATTGCTGTTGTGGCAGCTTACGGGCGTGTCTATCTGCCTCAAGCTGCAGCAGCGTGTCGCCTGCTGACAACCGTCAGTAGAACAGGTGCCAATGCGAGAGGGGGGTGCCTGTGTGTTGTGTGTATGAGGTATGGTACGAGGGTTGGGGGTTCGGCAGCTGGTCCAGCATGGAACTGACCCCCTTCCGAGGGTATGCATAGGAGGTTTAACCCTAAAGTCGTCATCCTCCACCGCCTGTACAATCAGATGTCGGCATGCAGGCATTTTGGTTATCCGTTGGACATGTCTGGGAGGACCCTACCATGGTGCATACGCCCATAAAAACGACCCGATCGTGCAAGATCGTTTTCAGGGAAAGTTGGGAGTTGTTTTCATCTCCGGTTCTGGAGGGCGTGTGACACTCCAAAAAAATGGAGGCGGAGGCGTTTGTTAGTTTCCGTTGCGCCAAGGTCTGCCTTTGCCTGCTCCCCCAAGTCTCCTCTTCAAAGGCAGTTGGTCTCTGTTATTTTCCTCCACGGCATGAAGAAGGACAAAAGGACAAGTCTAGGCTAAAACAGAATGTGCTGATTACGCGCACTTCCGAAAAATGTTTTTTGAGATTTCGAGGTGCACGCGTCGAGACTGCTCTCATGCTGATGCCCTCTGGTCCGCATTTTCGGCATTGGCTCCGCCTGTCCGTACCCGTATGTGACGGTCTGTGCCCGCCCCAGATAAGCGCCATCGAGAAGGTCAACGTTAGGTACACGTCGCTGAGCAAGCATGACATCGAGGCGCTGCAGGCAGCGTACCAGGGAACCGAGATTGTGTATACCTGATTTCGTATACCGTTCCTATTTAGTCGATATGTACTGTGCATGTGGCGTTGTCATTGTTTTGGTTGGGTTTATTCCCGTGCGTACGGCAGAGTGGAGATATCGCCAAGAAAATGTTGTGACCGTGCCGACTTGGTTTTGGGCATCATGCGTTGCCCGGGTGCGTGAAGTGCAGACCTCCGATGTTGAGGCTCTTGGGCTAGTGGGGTGGTTTTCGGGTCCTTGTTGGGACGGCCGTAGTTGCGATGTACGCCAATGTCGTCGGTGACTGTTTTGGCTTCACGCTTGTGTATGGAGCAGGGTGCAGGCATAGCGGTTGAACCCTTGCATCGCCCACAAATACAACAGGCAGGCCGCTGACCAAAGGGCGGCTGATAAAAAACTGTGGCTACGGCCGAAAACGGATTGTGGTTGGCATTCATACCGAGAAGCAGGTTTGAAAACACGGGTCAGTCCCCTTGCGTGACGCTTTCGACGTTGGCGTCATTGTTTGTTTCGCCTCCCCGATGAGGGTCTCATCGATAGGATGGCATCGATTGTGACTCTTCAGCTTTTGGACAAGATGTATCGGATGTTTGGTTTCATAAGAACCTCGTCGTGTCGTGTCATTTCATGTCATGTCAACGCGACGTACGTCCTCAACCAAGATATGGCCCACAGCTGATAAAAAACTGTGGCTACGGCCGAAAACGGATTGTGGTTGGCATCATACCGAGAAGCAGGTTTGAAAACACGGGTCAGTCCCCTTGCGTGACGCTTTCGACGTTGGCGTCATTGTTTGTTTCGCCTCCCCGATGAAGGTCTCATCGATAGGATGGCATCGATTGTGACTCTTCAGCTTTTGGACAAGATGTATCGGATGTTTGGTTTCATAAGAACCTCGTCGTGTCGTGTCATTTCATGTCATGTCAACGCGACGTACGTCCTCAACCAAGATATGGCCCACAGCTGTCGGCATGAATCAGGATCGTTGGCAAAGATAATTTCCGATCACGCATAAACATCGTACCACAACCTTTGAGTGTCACCTAGTCTAACCAGCTTAAACGAACGGAGACTACCTGTGCACAACCTCCTCCGTGAGTCAAAAGTGTGGCTCATCGCCGCTATCACATTCATCAACGACGTAGCTCACCCCACCCTCAATCGACAAGTCGGCTCCAAGCACCGACTCCACCACCTCAATTTCGACACCACTGCTGTCATGACCACCGCATCCAATATTTTCCGCCTCCGCGTCCTGGCGATCAGAGCCGCTGCTTCGCCCTGTTGACGAGCAGACGGAAGACGGTCCTACACTTCTAGCATCCTCCCGTTCGCGCCAACTTGCGTCGTCATCCTGCTCTTCCACCTCCGTTCCCCCGTCGGGTGCGCCCAGCTCAAGTTGGTCGCCCTTTGTCTCCCCTTCTCGTGAACGTTCCAAGCCCTCGAGCAACGCTCTCTTCTCTTCTTCGAGCTCCTTCGCCTGCGAACAGTGCTCGGCGTCCATCTGCTTCCGCAGCTCCTCTGCCATCGCTTCCGCCGTTCGCCTGCTAGGAATCTCCACCTCTGTCGCTGTTTGAGCAGAACTGATGCCCCCAATCCCACGACCAGAGGCACTGCCATCCCGGACGCCGCTGCCATCGGCCGTGACTCCGGTGTTTTTCCCGCGGTTCCACTCCGCCACAGCCTTTCGGAACGCCTCGTGTTCGGCTTCTTCGTCAAGAGCAAGGGCCGGGTCGTGCCCCTTTTCCCGCACCCCCTGTTGTTGCTTGGAACCTGCCACCGTCAACGTCTCCGTACCATGGGAAGAAACTCCCGGTTCATGACCGAGGTCTACCAACTGAGAGTTGTCCCCCTTCACGCCTATCCGTGGAGAAGAGAAAGGATTAACCCAGCACTCTGTCTCTTCCCCCATGCCTGCTCTTCCTCCTTCTCGTCCCCCCAACAGTCCTGGTCTAGCCGGTTTGGCATTGAACACCAACTGCATATCTTCATACTTTTCTTCTTCAGCTGCAGAAGGCATTCCAGCTAAGGGGGCACGGCCAACCACGGCGGGTCGATGCAAAGAGGAAGCGCGGCCCTCTGTTGCCGACGTTGTCGTCGAGTATTTTCCTTCTCCACGCCACTCTGCTACGGCATCTTTAAAGCTGGAGCTCGCAGCGGATTCGTCGTACTGTCCGTCGGCAAGATTGTCTGCTGTTGGTGATAGTCCGCCACCATCCCTTTGGTTTTCCGACAATGGCTTGATCGTAGACCAGTGTTGCTTATTTCCTCCGCTGAGGGGTGAGTATCGGCGGCCGACTCCGCCACAGTCTTCTGGAGCAATTTGCGATGTCGTTTCTGCTGCTGCCCCTCCTTCTCCTATCCCTTCCCCCCGTGGGCCCTTCTCGTCCCTGTTCACACGTGTACTACTGGTGGTTTGGTTTGGCAGCAGCTCCAACGCCGGGGCCGGGGGTGGTGGCATGTTAGCATCCAATGCCCTCTTCTTTCGGCCGCCCCTCCTGAGATCCTCGATGCCTTTTAGGATGCGCTTGCGGTGGGCCAAGACGCGTACGTCCATGTAGTCGAGATCGTCCAGCCCTACCTCCAGCAAGATCGTCCCCGAAATCTCGTTCTGCTGAAACACGCTTCTGTACTTTTCGAGCCCAAGACTGTCGAGCCACCCCAGCGTGTCCCCTACACCCCATCGGGTGACTTCCTTGCTCGCGAAGGCCGGGCTCGGACGAACACGCTGCTCAGCTGACTTCTGCGGCAGTGGCGGCGATCGTGGAGCGGCAGGATTGCTACTGATTTGTGCGTCGCCTCGAGCTTGCTGCTGCCAGTACTGCTGCTGCTGCTGCTGCTGCTGCTGCTGCTGCTGCTGCTGCTGCTGCTGCTGCTGCTGTCGCTGTTGCTGCTCATCTCGGAGTGCGGCCGCCGCGCGAGCCCCAGCCCCTGCTTGCGGCTGACCCTTGCTCCCCCCGAGGCCCGCCCCCCCCCCGGTGGTGGCGTTGGCGAAGATCCCATGCGGTGGGCGTTTCTGCAGCTGCTGCTTGTGGCGGATCTTGACGTCTTTCGCGTACGCGCGCACGGATCCCCGGTCGATTCTTGCGCTTCGCCATCGAGCGCCTCCCGCTCTCGGCCCCGCGGCCTCCCTCATCTCCGCCTCGACTGCAAGATCCGTCTTGAGCCGGGAGAGACGCTCCTCCATCTCCGCAGTTTCTCGAGCCATGGACTCGGAAGGCCTCGCCCGAAAGCCTGGCTGCCCCGGGAGCGGTGCAGGGGCACCAAAGGCTGTCGCCATCCCCTGCTTCCTGCTACGCTCGGGGCGCAATACAGGCCGCAGAGCGAACTGCTGTAGACTGTCCGACGAGGGAGAGGGTAAAATCGGAGATCCGTCGGAGATCGCTCCAGACGTTTCAGATCCTGCGCAAAAATATGAACTCCGTGCTTCCCCGAGGTCAGTCGGTCAGCCGGAGATCCGCATCATCTATATCTCCGCACCTACAAATGTCATAAGCATATCGTACACAGCGCATGACAATCAAAAAGAAGGTGCAAATATCCCAGCCTTGTGAACTAACGCGCTTCGGTGTTAGGTAAACGCGAGCTTATAAAAGCTTCTGTGAAATCGTCTCGGCCCTACGGACGGATGAACAGATACTGCCAAGAAACCTGGACCCGAGAAAAAAAGGATGTGATTGTACACATAAAACACGTGGAAGACTTCGCAATCCTTTGGGTTTTGCTTTAATTTTTGAGGATGGATCTGCGTGGCCCTCGCGCAACCCTCAAAACAATTGAACGAAGCCTATATACTGACACTGGTGATGCGTACTGTAGTACAGTAGGTGGAGACCTACAAAGACACTTACCAATGCATACCTCCATTTTTTTCTTTTTGCGTCCCTGAATCGTTTGTCTGCTCAAGCCTAAGCTTGCCCTTCGCGAACGCTCCAAATGGTTCAACATGCGACATGCTCCTTGTCCATATTGATGGTCATGCTTGTGCGTCAAACACAACTTCGTTTGGTTAAACTGCAGCCCTCCCACACAAGAAACCAAAACATGTTCGCTCAGTCCTGGTTTGTTTCTTGATGAGCGAGCGAGAAACACCTTCTGCGAACTTTGTAACTTTTCGCCTCGCCGAACACCGTTCTTCGGTAAATATTACTTCGTATTACTGTAGCGCGCAAGTCACCGTTGGATCATTTAGTGCCGACCACGGAGACCAACTCCCAACAGCCCCACCCGTACACGATACATGCCGGAAATGCTCCCCGTCTTGACTTGGAAGTTAAGGAAATGATGCGAGGGTCGTACAGGAAAAATACCACCGTAAGGCCCAACTAGTCTAAGGCTCACGCGTAGTGAAGACATCACCGTATTTATCCCCACTCGATGGAAGCGATACTACAAAAGGTAAGGATAAGAGCGCCGAAACGGCTTGATGAAACACCATGAATTAGAGCATATATGTAGTCTACACAACAGTTCCAAAAAATGCACGCTGGTCAGCTTTCTGAACCCCCGATCCACACATGTGTTCCCACACGCAAAGGAACACATACGTACACGCGTTGATGCTTACCTGCTGCTAGCGTACAAACGAGCATACATGAGGCAACGCCCAGAGAGAAAAGACACTCAAGTGCCTGCGTTGACTGATGAGCCCGTTCAAATCGTGGCCAGCCGGACAACCAAAAGCAAACAACGAACACCAGATACGACTTATTCAGGCTCTTGTCAAGCTTGCCCACATGCAAAACTTCGTTTCACACTAACTACAGAATTTCTTAAAAACAATTTTTTTCATGTAGTACCAGGTATACCGTTTCTTGGCGGAACCCACCCACCGCGGGTCGTCAAAAATGGACATACCTATCCTGTCTACGGCTGAACAAGTACCTTAGGAGAAAATAAGCAACCACAATCTAGGATCCGAATCCACAATCTAGGATCCGAATCTTGTTCAGAACGAGGGATGATGGTGTCAATCCTACAAACAAGCTTCAGTCGACGGGTCACCAGACACCACTACACCGATGAACGTAAAACAATTATCCTCATATGCATACGCGCCAACAAAGTTAGACATCCAACCAATGAGCTGCTCCCGACAACCCTCACCCGAAAGCAGCGGCTGTTGGGCCTAGCACAGAGTCATCAACCGGTCAATCATAGAGCGCCACGCCTTACGCGACGGTGGCAGTTCCCGGCTCCGCCCTGGATTTCTTGCGAGCAGGGGACGTTACCGCCGCCGCCGCTGCCACCGCTTCCGCCACATCTCCCAGAGGTTCAAGAAACCCTTCGCCTCGCCTGCTCTTCTGAGAGAGCACGGTCACAGTGCTGCCGTTACCGTTGCCGCTACTGGTGTTCATGCCCTCCTCCTCGGTCAGATTCTGCGGGACCCCCTCGTCGTGCCCCCCCCCAGACTCAGCTCCGGTCGCCCGACCCCCCTCGGCCGTGCTGCTGCTACTGCTGCTGCTGCTGCTGCTGCTACCCTTCGGCGCATCCTCACCGCCGTTCTTGCTCTCGGTCTCGGCCGCGCCAGGCGCCGACGCACCAGGCACCGACCCGGGAGTATCAACCGGGGCGTTTCCTGAGACTGCACCACCACCGTCTAGGCCGGTCGCCTTGAGCCCCGTCTTAGGGGCACCCGGGGTTGGAGAGGGCAGAGACGGTGGCACCGCCGCCGCTGCTGCTGCTGCTGTTGCTGGTGCCCGTGGGATGACGCTGTCCAAGTAAGGGCAGCATTCCACCAGCATATCCCGCTGCTCCTCCTGAGGATAACAGCAGTAGTGCCGAGGATACATGACATCATGTGCGCAATTATTTTAGTTTTGGTCGAACGAGCTTTTAGTGTTAGGCATGTACGTGCTGGACAACGGGGGAAGCGGGTGGGTGTTGATGGGCATATCATATAACCGACGAATACATATCATGTGATACAATTATTGGGAGGCTCTGGGTCACAAATAGAGGGCGGGTGGAACTGCTGACGCCGGAAGGTAACTACTAACGCGTGCCCGATCTCAACCCTCGACCGCCTGTGCGGTAAGATTCGGCAAAAGCTCGGCAGTTGGCCACACATACTCGATCAGAAAAACATGAAAAACCCTTCCACGACCCAATGTAAACACCAACAGGGGCAGCAAACGAGGAATAGCACATGATACTTTATGAGAAACACATGCCCGATATGTACAACAGGTACGCAAGCCTACAACACAGCACCGAGATGATGACACATTTTCACCTCCAAGCGCCATTGAACGACAAAATCGCAAAGTAACGGAGCCCATCAGGCCTGCACGCCACTCATTCCCAACAACAAGACGCACCGGGGTCGCAAGCAGGTAGCGCCACCTCAAGAGGTCGTCCCCCCTAAACCTGTACACCATCCTGGCAAACTCATAGAGACGGGGCAGGACCACCTGCCCCCAGTGCTTGCGGTGGCGGTAGGTCCGGCAGTCAAGCTCGACCCGCGACACTAGCACATCGTCTGCCGTCGCTGTAACTGCCGTCGGCGCCTCTTTCCTTGGAACTTCTCTTTTGCCGTTTCCGCGGCCAGCGGTGGTGGTCTTGACGAACTGCACCAAGTCGCCGACGCTGGCTCCGATCATGAGCATATACGTCTGCCAGCCATGGGTTGGGGGGACAAACGATACACGATACTCGCTAAACACACAACGAGACAAAAAGGGAAAGAGACTGAATCGACGAAGGCGGTTGTATGACAGCCTCGTGTCTCGTGCGATGTTTTGCTGCGAGCCATATCACAAAACGATTCTCCGGCACTTGGACGACCAGCAACACGGGGTATGATACATGATACACTCTCCCCCCATGCTTGACTCACCACGAGCTGGATCTGGTCGTAGAGAGGAGGAGGATTGGTCGCCTTGTACATCCTGTTTTTCACCTCCACCACCACCCGCCTCGTCTCCCAACTCTCGGCGTCTTCGGGGGCATCGGTCACCTCCTCGGCGACACCGTCCACGGCTCCGACGACCACAAAACACGCCTCCTTCCTCCTCTCCCTCATCGTCTTCGACCCCCACCCGGCAGCACCCCTCGCCGGTTCCTCCTCCATTCCCGCAGCGCTACCGTTACCGGCGTCCTGGGGTCCTACCTCAGACGGCGGCGGGTTCACCGCCTCCGTATCTCGGGCCCAAACCGACCACTCCTGCTCTTCCGGCTCTTCTTCTTCTGCTACCGCTTCGTCTTCTTCCTTCGGTTCGGATGGCTCGGCAGGGCCCTCCCCCCACGCGTAAACGGCGTCGCCCCCGAAGGTCTCCAAGTTCATCAAACCGGCCTTTGTCTTTGTGGCCCCTGGTGCCGTTGCCGTTGCCACTGCTGCTGCTGCTGCTGCTGGCGGCGGCGGCGTGGTTCCACTCGCGCTATAGATGCTGCCGAAATTGCTTCCCTCGGAGGCGATCGCGGTCGAACCTCCATTAGTGGACGTCATGGAACTCCGTTTGTCCTCGGTCTCCGTCATCGCCACCGCCGGCGGCAACGTCTCCGCCATGCTGCCCCTCCGGCATTCTTCCTGTTGGGCCCTAGCGGTTGCATCGTCGCCATCAGTCATCGACTCCGTCATCATCACCGTCGCAGGCGACGGGGCCGCCTTCTGGGGCAAACACGACCCTCTCCTCAACCGTGCAGCGAAGCCCGGCGATGACTCCTCCCGCTTCCCCTCTGTGGGTCGCTTCACGCCGCTACCGTTACCGTTACTACCAGCGCTACCGGCAGCATCATCCACAGGGTCATCGGAGCACCTCGTCGACGAGATAACCTGTCCTTGTCCTTTTGGGCCTTGTCCAGCACGCTCGGGCGCGGCGCTAGCTGGTAATGCGGGCTCGGCTGCCGACGAGGAACGGCCGGAACCCCGTCGCGATCCTCTCTTCGTCCACCCCTGTGCGGTCAAGCCAAGTGTTCGGCGCGGGCATATAGGTAAGAAGCGCGGCATCGGCGACTTCGGGTTCACCTTTCAAGCACAGCCGCTGTGCATAGCCGTGGCTGCTGATCGATTGCTACTCCACCTCTTTGCTCAGTTCTGCGACTCTGCGGCAGTTGTATGTACACGCACGACGAAATCGACCTGAGTCTCCGAAGCCAAGCCATCGTATCTACGTTAAATAGGAGCACTAACCCAAAGCGAAACAAATACCCCAACACGTTCAAGGCGCCGCAGCAGCAAAAAAAAAAAAACGCCTTAAAAGAGCATGGCTGCATGCATACCTGGCTAAGCTCAGGCGGAGGGTCGAGTGCTCTGTCGGGCACACCATCTCCGGAGATCTTGCTGCCTGGAAAAGGCCAAACCAAAATCCGCTCGTTGCTGCAGATGACCTGTAATGTGACACACGCGTGTTGTTTGGTACCAATATTGCGTTGTACACACAACAGTACCGAACCGGGTGGGTGTGATTGGACATCATCGTGTGATTGGACATAGTCATCAGAATCTCACCAATATATGCCGCGTGTGAGAACAAAACGCGTGAGCTGTGTGCGCATGCATCGCAGAAGAGCGTCGCCGAATTTTCCTTTCTTCTTTGACTTTCCGATGCTTTCTACCATACGTCTTCAATGCTCTTCAATTGCTCTTCAGGCGCGAAAAGAGAAATGAGAACAAGTTCAACTTGCAACATTCAACAGAGGCGCGCTGTGGAAGATGGACGCGACGCTTGTACACAACTGTTAACCTACTGAAGACCAACTGACCTTTCCTCCGCGGACTATTTACACCAACCGATCAATCTCCACACGAAATGTCGTTCACCGCTGCTTGATACTTGGCCGTTGATTGCCGGATTGTACTATCCAGTAACAGAAAACGAAAAAAAAAAGAAAACAACGCGCCAAGCCTCCGTCGAGTTGGCGCACCTCCGTCCCGCACCGCCGCTCGTAGACGTCCAGCGCGAAGTTCTCATTTCGAGTGCCGAACTGCGTGTTGATGTCTTTGAGAAGGTCGTTCTCGAGCTCCTTCGCCTCTTCCTTGGACAGCTTCTTCTTAACCTCCGCGTCCTTCAGGAGGGACCGGGCCTAACGCGGTCCAGGTGTAGATACACGTTACGGCCGGGGGGGGGAGGGGGGGGGGGGGGGGGGGGGGGAACCAAGATCACCCGGGGAAAACAAAT